GTAACTTGTTGAAGCATGATGGTTTGGGAGTTAGTAGCATATACATCAGCATTCAGTAAAACAGCACTGTACAGTTCCGTAACAGTGACCTGTTGCTGACCTTGGTCTCTGAAGGAGTGGCTGAATTAGAACCTAAGAGAAGGAAACCTATACTTCACCCTCAGCACCTCTGCATGTTGCAAGCAGGCTGCAGATTTACCTCAGAATTTAAGTGCCTAAAGATACATTTGGATGTTTTTGTAAATCCTGATAGATGCCTGTGTCCCACCAACTCTGCTGGAATTCAGAGTCTAAGTGTGCTTAGGTGCCCTTGTAAAGCCCACCAAGCACTTAAGTACCTTGGTAAATCCAGCTCAGCCTTTTGGACATTAGACTGTTTAAACAGGTTCATTAACAAGTGCTAACCTGATTAGAGCAAGGGTGTCAAACTCATGGAGTCCCTCAGGCCAGATCCAGACTGTGGGGCTTCCTGCACAGCTGACAGCCTGTGAGCCATGGCAGCAGTGTTAATCCAGAATGTAGTGGCTTAATGCCACTGCTGTTCACCCTCCCCCTTCTCTTTTCCTGCCAACTTAGTCACCAGGGGCAACTAAAAATCATGGTATCAGTAGTGAGTGGGGTTGGGAGGGAAAGGGAGTTAACTTCCTGGGTTCTGGAGCTGCACTGAAACAGCAAGGATTAACAATGGATCTAGCAGCCACAACAGTGAACACCACAAGCTCCACAAAGATGGGTGGTTCAGCCAAGGAGAAGTCCCACGGGCCAGATAACCCACCTCTCCAGGCTGAATCTGACCTCTGAGTTTTATGTCTGACACCCTGGATTACAGCATGTCCACAGCAGAAAGTGAACCAGCTAGGCACCAAGGTCCCTGGCTTGTGCCATGTGTTCACTATCTCCCAGTTACCACTCACCACTAGGTCTCCAGGCTTCAGCTTCTCAGCATCAACCAGCCCGATCACAGGCAGGAAGTATGTCTGTAGGGAAAATAAATTCAAGTAAGCACTGCAACCAGGCTAGGCTGATCTCCCCAGTAGTCAATCAGCATGTGCATAATTACTGAGCCCTGTGATAATGTCCTCAGCAGTCATGTGCAGCTCTCCCCAACAGAGCACTCCCCACACTTGCACAGATCTAGGACTCACCTGGCGGGTGGAAGTTTTGATCACAGCACACTTGCCCTTTCTCTGAGAATCCAGATCAATATTTGCTCCATCTTCCTCCTGGTCATTGGGATCAACATCCAGTAGCTGGGGACCAGAACAGAAGATTCCATTATAAGCAGAATCAGCACACCTGGTCTGCAGGCAGTTTTAGACCTCCAAACCTGCTAATTATTCCCACTTGGAAACAGAGATGAAGTCAGTGGGATCCAGAGCCACTGACAGAGGCAGAAGCAGAACCCAGAAGTTCTGATTTTTCAGTCCTCTGCCCAAGACAGCAAACCCCATATCCTACTGATGCTCTACTGTACAGACAGTAGGGCCTGATCCCAACATTACTGCTGAAGAGTATGAGGCTCTCACCTCAATGACATTAGAAACAAGGTAAGGCAGGGTTTTGTTCACTTTGATCTTCTCACTGTTCTCTTTGATCTTGTCTTTCATGGCCTGCAACTCATGGGTTACTCTCAGCACCTCACTCTTCATGATCTGCAATTAGAACACAAAAGGAATAACCTCAGAAGCCTACATACAAAAACACAGCATGCCAGAAATCCAATCAGCAGATGAGAATGCATTGGGAGAAAGGGGATGGGGAAAAAATATTAGGGCAAAACAGATGAGACCAGAATAGAGAGGCCATGTAGCTTGATGCCTAAGAACCACTTATTCTGTTCTCAACTTTCTGGTGCCCAAAAATTATGATGCGTCATCTAATGACCTGTAGAAACAAGGGAGAGAGATTTGCTTTTAGAAAGGCTGTTCAGATCCTTCCAGCCAACTGCCACATCCATCCCCATGAATTTTCCATTCCCTATGTGTAGGTTCCTTTCAATACACTTCCTACTGCCTGGACAGATTCATGTGAAGGCTAGACAGCAATCTGCCTACAACTTTAGAAAAAAAGTGGGGCTGGAAGGGAGCTCAGGAGATCATCTATTTCAACCCTCCTGCTCAAGGCAGAGACATCCCTGCTCAAACCAAACTGGGTAAGTATGTATCTAAGCTGCTTTTAAAAACTTCCAAGAATGGATATTCCACAGTCTCTATAGGCAGTCTGTCCTAGTACTTAAGCACCCACATAGTTAGAAAGTTCTTCCCCATTTCCCACCTAAATTACCCTTGTTGCAACTTAAGAATGTTGTCCCTGGTCCTATCTGTCCCTTGTGGCCACAGAGAAAAGTCTATCACCACCCTTTGTATAAACAGCTCATTAGCAAACCCATCTCAACCTTCTCTTCTCCAGACTAAGTCATTCCAGGCCTTCCACGCTTTCATTGTAACTCATGTTTCCTAAGCCTCTTATGTTCCCTGCTCTCTGCTAGACTCTTTTTAATTTGTCCACAACTTTCTTGAAGTGCAGCACCTAAAATTGGACACAGTACAGGTGAGGCCTCACCAGTGTGGACCAGAGTGGGAGAATCACTTCCCTTGACCTGCAAGTGACACTCGTATTAACGCAGCCTTATACGCTATTGGCTTTTTTCTTTTTGAACAAGAGCACACTGTTGACTTACGTCCAGCTTATGATCCACTGTAACCCCCAGGTCCTTTTCTTCAGTACTACAGCCTAGCCAGTCATTCCCCAGTCTGTATTTGTATGCGTGATAGATAGTTCCATCCCAGGTGAAAGATACTGAACTTGTCCTTACTAAATTTAATTAAATGAATTTCAGATGATTTCTCCAGTTTATCAAGGTGACTCTGGATCTTATTCCTGTTCTCTAGAGAGACTGCAACTCCACCCAGCTTGGTGTAATCTGCAAATTTGCTAGGCATGTACTCAAACCCATTCTGTAGCCCATTAATGAAGATATTAATGAATGTTTGGCCCATGACAGATGTCTGGGGAACCCCCTTGATACTGCCTCCCAACTGGACATTAAGCTACTGGCGACTACTTTTTCAGTTTGATGATCTAAGGAGTTAAGTATCTGCCTTACAATACTGTCATCTAGACCAGGGGTGTAAACATCAATGGGCAGCTCCATGGGCTGTATCTGTGCCACACATGGCACTTGGAGTAGCCCAGGAACTGCTCCCCACAACTAAGGCACTTACTCAGGCCTGCATCTTGGACCAGCCTGAGCAGGTGCTGTATGCACTGGATCAGGCACGGGTAGGGGTCTGTGGACCAGCCCCCAAGCCATTCACCCAGCCCACAGGGCCAGATGAGTTTGACACCCCGATTTACACTGCATTTCCTTAGCTTACCAAGGAGAATGCTGTGGGACATGTCCTTGTAAAAACCTGCTTCCTGGCAGCTCAGAGTGCTTTGCAAAGTATCAGCACTACAAGAGAGAGCACTGAGGCTACTACAGGCCTCAGTAGTCTACCAGTCGTGACCTTTTGAATTAAATGAAACAAGACTCCCTGTAGGGAGGCTGAGAAACTGAGATCCTACGTTTAAAGGACAACTGGTTATTAGAAAAAATGAGTGAGTTCAAAACTTAGGGTATAGACTGAGCACGACAACTGTTTCCAAGAGAACGCAGTGCATTCCTATTTTCTCAGATAGCCAGTCATCTAACATGAGGCAAAGGTAAGACAATTTTGCCTTTTACTGATGGCCTCAGGATCCAGACAGGCATTCAATCTGAACACCAAAAGTTTCCAGCACCATGAATGTCAGGTGAAAAGGGGGCTATGGAGGCATTCCAGCTCCTTAGCTGGAGAACTAGACTATGGTGAGCTCTCCTGCCAGGGGGCAAGAGAGGGTTGCTCTTTGGTTCCTCTCATCTGGATGGGAGCCTGATCACTGACAGCTTGTGCTCTTCCCTGCCCAGGAAGATGCAGGCTGTCAGCAATCAGCTAGCAGCAAGTAACTACTCTTCTACCCCCGACCTCTGGCACACCCTCAACTCACTGCACACTCCCAGAGACACCCAGGGCCATTAAAGGCACATAGGGCAGTGGTCCTGCCACCTGAACCATCCCATAACTCCCCAAGACAGTTCAAAGGGCAGGGGGAAGCAAGGCAGTTCTTGGGGCTGCAGCCAGAACACCAGCACTTGCCCGTGTTCTAGCCATGGGAATGCAGCTTCTTGTCACAGGCAAGAGTCCATGCTTCAGTTGCATCAGTGGTACTGTGGGGACCCCTGCCCTGCCAGCACACTGCCAGAGGGCAGTCACAGCAGACAACTCTTCTGCTCACATGACTGAAACACGACCCCTGCACTGAATGGCCCTGATTGCTAGACAGGGTAGGGGGCCACCCATAGAACCACCCCCTGCTTGGTTGTCTTAATCTGGGAAGTGTTGGGTGCCCTGTCAGCTCACGGCTGGGTATCAGGAAACCAGGCACTGTGGGATACTCAGGGTCCTAATGTCTCAGGCATCGCACATAGCAACTTTGCCACTGAATTTTTCTAGTACCAAGCCAGCAGCTAATGGTGGAATCGCTGTCTTTTCTGCCCCACACGCTGCCTGAACACCTGCAGGCCTGCTTTTGCATCAGGAAAGGGAAGTGTTTCCTGACACAAATGAAACACCTGCTTGCATCCTTAGGGGAGCCATTTTCTCTTTCAGGCCTAACTAATCAGTGGAGGCCTCACCTGCAGCAGCAGCAGCAATCACAGCCATAGTTTTCTCTCTGTGGTAACAACAGTAGGAGTGTGAATCTAGACAGAGCTCAGATTTTTATCCCCCATTAGTCTACCTCATTTAAGGAGCCAGTACTTACACCCAAGAAGCAGAAGGGTAGCATAGAACTACATAACACAAACATTATCCAGCCATCTATGGCCACAGCACAGACCAAGGTGCCCAGTACAAAAGAAATGGTGAACAGTTAATGGTGCTGTTTAACTCACACATCTCCATGGCTGCTTGCCCCACTGCCGCTGCCAGCCCCATAGATCTAGCCTACCAAGGAGCCCCACAGTTCAGATCTGGCCAGGGGTGACTCCAACACCTGAGTTAATGGAGTTAAACTCATCCTTCCCTTAAGTGCCCCTTCTCTAGGCTGGAGCTCGTTAGGGCACTGAACAGGCACAAATGCTGAGCACAGCAGTGACCTAAAACAAAAATGGCTTGCAAGCGGCAAGTCTACAGAGCAAACTCCCTACCATGATGCGTTGTGGAAGCTGACGGCTAAGCTAGGTTCAGAAAGGGACTGAACAAATTCTTGGAGAAAAGAGGCATTGGTAACTATCCAGCATGGATGTAAGTTAGGAGCACAGCCTCTGAATCACAGCTTCCTGGGCCCTACACCTGGAGGCTGCTGGTGGGGAACAGAAGAAAAGCCACATCCTGCTCACTGTCTCCTCCAGCACCCACTCTCTACCCCAGCTGGTGCGGGCCTGGGCACAGCAGAGCTACGAGCCTGGAGCAGGCGGTGACTTGCGGATCGGGAGCACGCAGGGGGAAGCGGGGAGGGCGCGCGGGGCGGCATGGAGCAGGGC